ACAAAGATGGGAAATAATGGAGGGAGCTCAAAACTAGATATTCAAATTAAACTACTCAAAAATGCTATGCATATGCAGTGAAGAAGCATAATCATAATAGCAAACAAATAGTACTTTCCACATACAAAGCCCTGTATTAAGTACCTTACATATATGGATTTGCTCTTGAGAGTAACTTTATGAGGTAAATATTATAATTAACATAGCATAGAAATAAACAGAGAACTGTGGAGTTTGAATCCATCGCCAGCTGATCCCAGGCAAGGTACTTGAACTTAGTGCTCAATTTTCTTACCCTTTAAAAATGTCTACAATGCTGGATCCACATAGGATTGTTTTGAAGATTATAAGTCATTTAGAACAGTGCTTGGTTAGTGGTATTTTTAAAAAATAAGTTTTTCCTTTTTTGGTACCTGGGATTGAACTCAGGGTCACTCAATCACTGAGCCACATCCCTAGCCCATTTTTGTATTTTATTTAGATACAGGCTGTCCGAGTTGCTTAGCGCCTTGCCATTGCTGAGGCTGGCTTTGAACTCACCATCCTCCTAAATCAGCCTCCTGAGCTTCTGGGATTATAGGCATGAGTTACTATGCTCAGCTAAAAAAAAAAAAAAAAAAAAGTTTTCCTTACACAGTTTCCTTAGCTATAAAATTGAATGTATAAGTTGATTTGTAATTTGCCTCCGCTCATAATCAGTGGCGGGGAGGAGCAGAAATTGAAGCCACGAAGTGTGATTTCAGGGCTCAGACTCTTGATATTTAGGATCAAGATGCTTTCCTTTAACACAGATATCCTAAAGCTCAAGAGTCTTGTTGGATAGAAAAGTTATCCAAAGAGGAAAGGAGGTCTGGGTTAGGAATGATATGACTAACTACAGAGATCTATGAGCAAAGGAAGGAGGCATGAAATAGGGCATACCTGGAGCGGGATGAGTGGTAAAGTATTATTGAGACTTGAAGTGGGAGGTTGATAATGATAGGAAGTAAGGCTGGAGAGAGAGGCAGGAAGCAGACGTGAAACAACTTGTATGTTGAACTTTAAATAAGACCTATTTTATCTTGTGGGTGGTGAGGACCTAGGTAAAACTGGAGGCAGGAGATAGTTGGAAAGCTATCACTGTAGTAGTAAAGAGAGATTTGGGAGCCTAGTGTCAGGTAAATTACTAGCAGGACAACTGGAAAGGCAAGTTTGAGAAGTCTAGGAGGTGAGACAAAGTTGAGGATGATTTTGGTTTAGGGAGTCAGTGATGTCATGAAAAGATTATTGTGAAAAATGTTTGAGACCATGCTGAGTTTGAGGAAAAGTATAGCAGAACAGTTAGAAATTTGAGGACACTGGAGTTAGGATGAAAAATCAAGACTGAAAATGAAGGTCTGAGAGAGAAGTCATTACGCAGAATTAGAACATCTGTCCTTAGTCCTAGTAGACAGGAAACAAAACTAGAACTATTGAGTGATTTGGAATAAGATCACAGAGAGTTAAGACCTGTAATCATCATGTTCAGTACAATTAGCTCAAACCATGTCATCTTTATATTTTCACTTTTTTAGCAAATTCAAAGTATGTAATATGCCAGACATTTGTTGGTACCATAGATACTTATAATAGTGGATTGGAAGAATCTTCCCAAATGACATGGGCAAGTGAAGAAACTGAATAACTGTCCTCAAGCTCAGGTGGAGAGCAGAGACTAAATAATTATTGACTTCTTCAAACTTGAGATTATGACAAAGTCAGGGTTGATTGCTTTTTTTGTCTTTCTTGAAAAGTTTTTACATGGAAGACAGCATTCTGTATGCTTTGATTATTTAAAAGGGCTCAATTAGTGAATTTGGCTCTTCTTTAGAATTAAGGATTTTAAATAAGTGAGGTGAATATATCTGTCAGCTGTGGCCAAAATACATGACGTACACAATTTAAAGGAGGAAAAGTTCATTTGGGCTCATGGTTTCAGAGGTTTCAGTCCATGGTTGGCTGGCTCCATTGCTCTTGGCCTGAAGTGAGGCAGAACATCATGGCTGAAGAGCATGGTGGAGGAAAGCTATTCAGCTCATAACAGCTGGAAGCAGAAAGAGAAAGGAGTTGGGGACAAGAAACCTAGGGCGTGACCACAGTGACCTACTTTTTCCTATTGGGCCCCTCCTCCTGACAGCTTCTTCTACCTCCTAGGAGTTCATTCAGCTGCCAATGAATTAATCCACTAATGAGGCTTCATGATCCAGTCACTTCCCAAAAGCCCCACCTCTAAAGGTCACTTCAGGGGCAAGCCTCCAACACAGTTGCTAGGGGTCACTTATGAAACATAACATAACCACCATAACAGTGGTTCTGATCTCCTAAAAAAGTACTGGAGCCAGATGTGGTGGCACATGTGTGTAATTCCAGCTACTCGGGAGGTGGAGGAGGCAGGAGGATAGGAAGTTAAGGCCAGCCTGGGCAACATCAAGACCCTGTCTCAAAATGAAAAATTAAAAGGACTGAGAATGTAACTCAGTGGTAGAGTACTCCTGGGTTCCATTACCAGTAATGCAAAAATAAAACATTAAAAACTTTGGGAAATTTGAACTCATCTAATGGACTTTTCTCTTTTTTTTCTAATAGAGTTATCTAGGATAATTATTCAATTAACATTTGAAATTATCAATGAAAACATTCCCTACAAGGAGTTTTAAAGTATGGGTCTTTTCAGAATACATCTTTTCATCCTAATATGCACTAATTTCTTAGGACTCTTTTTAGAGGGGGCGTTTCATCCTGAATGTTTGTGTAGAGTGGAGATTTGTTTTGCCATGTATTTTTTTTTTTTTTGAAGGGGGATACTGGGGATTGAACTGAGGGGCACTTGACCATTGAGCCAGTTTTGTATTTTATTTAGAGACAGGGTCTCACTGAGTTGCTTAGCACCTCAACTTTGCTGAGGCTGGCTTTGAACCTCATGGTCCTCCTGCCTGAGCCGCCCGAGCTGCTGGGATTACAGGCGTGTACCACTGTACCTGGCTTGCCATGTATTTTTTAATTAACACAATAATTGTACTTGTTTATGGAGCATTGTGAATTTTTGATACATATATACATTGTGTAATGATCGGAGTAATTAACATATCCATCAGCTTTATAGATGGATTTAACTGGGTTTTTCCAAAGATGGGTCTTCTCAGTCACTTCTTTCAGTACTGCCCTAGAGAAGTTATATAAAGGTGAGGGATAGATGTTCCACAGTTCTGATTGTGCATTGCCCTAAGTACCAGCGAGAACTTGCTGTACAAGAAAAAAATTGAAATGAAAAGCCCACAAGGGGTATAAGCATGGAATGAGCTGCTTGTTTCTGTAGTGAAGTCCCTCTTGGTGAAGTCTGTCTCAAGGGTATCATTGGAAGCCCTAGAGTTGTGGGTGGAAAAACCGCACCTCTTGCACTGAGGTTTTTTTTTTTTTTTTCTTTAGTTGTTGATAGACCTTTATTTTATTTATTTATATGCAGTGCTGAGAATTGAATCTAGTGCCTCACACATGCCAGCAAGTGCGCTACTGCTGAACCCCAGCCCCCAGCCTTTTGCACTGAGTTTTTGATGAAGTTTTACTATTCATTCTTAGACCGTATTGGCATACACCTCCCTGTTTTCTCATCTCCAGTTGTGCTCGTCACATCTTTTAAATGATGCCCTTTCAAAATTCTCTAGCTAGATTGTAAGCTCTGTAAAAACAGGAATAATAAAGATAGTTTTGAGCACCTACAAGGTCTTGCTTTGTGCTGGGAACTCTTAATTCTTGATTGATTAATCATGTGAAGCTTTCGATGTTCACAGAGGATGTTTTTCTATATATTCCTTTAAGGAGCAAAAACCAAACATTTCTTCCTAAATAAAGAAGATATGCCTCAAAAAACTTTAAAAAATTTTATTGATATTAAATTGAGGGAAGATTATAATTCCAGTTTTCAAGCACCAGCAACTGAAAACTGCCTGTCTAAATTAATTGGTAAAGCAAGACTTATCTGTAGAAAATCAGTTGTTTAAAAACTAGAGTGCACCAAGGAGCTGTTAGAGTTTTATTAATTTTATTTTTTAGAGGCTTAAAGGGTCTGTGTCCTCTCATGATGAATCCTTTATTTTTTAAGCATATGTTTTTGAAGACTTCAAAGATGAAATGCCTTAAAAAAAGATTGAAGTTAAAATTTATAGATATGACAAACATAATTGTTTGCTTAGCCTTTAGTTTTATGATCTACGTACTGTAGTAAATGATTGCAATAACATAGATGAACCAGCTCAATATCTGAAATTCCTTATGCTGTTGGACAATAGATAGTCTCAAGTAGAGATTAGAGAATAGTGAAATTAAAAACCGTTTGGTTTCCTAAGAACATATGAAATTAAATGTTTTCCGATGGTCTAAGATCATTGTTGCTAATGGCAAGTGTTAAAAATCTTGACCTTCTAAAAGCTGACTCTTAACCTATTTCCTTTAGAAACAGTTATATTTTTATATCTTGACTCATTTCCTCCAGAACCTACTATGTATTTCCTCTAAGACTACTATAATAACCTCAAAAGATAGAACCCTGTCTAGTTCCTTGTCATAGGAGAATGTCCATTCTAAATCTAATAGATGAAGATTTAGAAGTTAAGATGTAAAATTTAAGATTTACATTTTAGAAAAGGTAAGTCTCAATATGTAACATGTGGGCTTTAAAATCTATAGGTTATTCTTTTTTAAAAATACCATTTTCTTAGGGGTAATTATTCATGTTATAAAAATATTTCTATATTCTCAAGAACAATAATTTTTTCTACCAAAATTATCTGTTTGTAATGATTTGATAAAACTTCTAGGTAAGATTCAGCATGTAAAGTGGGTTACCTTGTGTTGTACTTCCGCTTTAGCTTGATGGATTTAGACTCTGAAATTGTAAGGCATTTCTTAGGCTAGCATGATAATATTCTGTGGATTATGCAGTAATCTTTGTAAAATAATATATCCTTATAAAATATTTATTTCAGAGCCCCGTGACCTGACTCTCAAAATTTACAGAGCAGAATCCTATGCTGGTCTCCAGGAGTTTAAAGCAGCCATAGAAGATTTAAATGCAGTTCTCTTTCAACTTCCAAATTGGCCTGAGGTAAAATTGCTTTTTTATATTTACATTTAATTTAATTGGTTACAAGATTTAACAAAACGGATGGTCAAATGATAAATATAGTTTGCTAGAAATTTAGAGCCAATATTTTGAGTAGATGTCATCTGGAAAGTTTTTACATCATCAATCTTTTGTTTTATAATCAAAGAATAAACTGAATTCCTGACACAGGGAAAAAACCCAAAGGTGTTATTATACTAAATTTTTGCAAAGAAATACACTTTGCCATATTGTGAAGATTCATTCAAACTGAACCTTCACTAAAGGAGATTTATTAATGGAAAGAGGATTAAGTCCTTGAGGCTGGAAAATTGTTCAAGGCATTATAATGGCAATGAGGTGTTTAGGCAGTGAATTGAGAAAGTAGATGTGGGCAGAGGAGAGGTTGGCTTGTGCATGTGGTTTCAGAGTAACATATGGTTTGCCTCATATGTTATTGAGGAATAACATCAGTTTACTAATTCTCCTTTTCATCAAATTCTGAAGGCAAATCAATCTGTCTCCCATAAGTATTCTTTAGGCTAGAAATTAAAAATGCTACCTTTGCTCTCCAAAACTGTGCCTTTGAGAATACTATGGTGAGTATGCTCTAAAAATTATATATATCAGTAAGGAAAATTATAAAAACTCCCATGATGGCATGACTGGTTGGTACAAAACAAAAGATTAAGAAGAAAGTAGTTGGTATGGAGAGCTTTAAAACTGTTAAGAAGGAAAAGAACCCTCTGGACTAACACTGAAGTAACGAGTGGTTACTAATTGGAAAGGGTGGTGTTTTTCAGCCATTTAAATGATAGCTAAAAAACTGAGTAGAATATTCTTTAGGTTCCTCTGAAGTTATTAGATAGTTTGTTCTGTGGCTTATAAAACCTCTTTTCATGCTAGTTACAGACCTATTTAAAACTTGCAGTTGACACTTGTTGGTAGATCAACCCACAAATTAAATTTTGGCTTATCAGTAGCAATTAGTAGGATTCAGCTTTTTTCATAGAACTTTATGAATTCATATCCTGAAGGACAAAAGACAAAAATAAGGATTTATGAAAAGTATCATATCTATAAGTACTTTCTTAAGAAATGGTATAGGCAAAGATAGTAATCTAGAAGACATTTCCCATATTGCCCTGATTGTAAAGTGAACTTTTTTTTTCACATTTTAGTATTTCTTTAATGTTGATGCATCTTAAAGTTTGTATAAGCTTACTATTTCCTTTTTCCTTCAAACAACTGATACCAGTAATCTTTAAATTAGTACTTTCTTGAGAGTGAGATAACATTGTATTTCTGGTCCTGCCAAACTCTTAACTGGCTGTGAAGTCTGGTGAAGGAATCATCTGGGTCTCAGTTCCCTAGCAGTGCTTTTCAGGGTAGGTAGATGAGCCTTTAAAATACTTTGGCCTCCCTGGGGTCATTCAGTTTCACATTTACATTTCTGAGTCAACTGGTTTTTTTTTCTTTACTTGATTTTGTTAAAAGGTTTATAAAGGTTTTACATGTGCTTTTGTTGAAGGTCTATTTCAGGAAAGGAAAAGTACTTCAGGATGCTGGCTTTTTAGGAGATGCCTTACAACTCTTTCTTCAGTGCTTGGCCCTTGATGAAGATTTTGCACCTGCAAAGTTACAAGTAGAAAAGGTAATCAGTTTACCAACTTGAATAGTTCAAGACAAGTCTGACACAGGTCTTTTTAGAAATGATTATTAGAAAATTAAATAAAAAGTACATAAGTAATAGGAAACATTTGACAAGCAGTTTTCAGTTTCACAGACCTAGTATATTTAATTCTTAGAGAAATCAAAATATTTCATTCGCAGATATTTTAATGCAATATTTTTATTTAATTAATTTAAATATTCCTTATTATGGGCAAAATATCGCTAATTTGAAAATGTAAAATCTGAAATGCTTCAAAATCTAAACTTTTGATCATGATGTGATGCCACTTGGAAAATTCCATACCTGATGTCATGTGACAGGTCACACTCAAAATCTAAAAGCACTAAAAATACTGTAGAAGATTGCTTTGGGGCTACATGTTTAAGCTGTATGTGAAACATAAATGAATTTCATGTATAGACTTAGGTCCGATCACCAAGAATAGTGCATTATGAATTTGCAAATATTTAAACAACCCCACATCCCCCCAAAAACTTTTAGTTCCAAGCATTTTGGAAAAGGATTCTACCTGTAGTTTGTTTAGTCAAAACCAGATTGACATTCCTTAATTAAACATTGCTTTCGTGATGTTGCTGCAGTACTGCCCCAGTCAGCATATTTGCCTTAGTTTTCTCAATATTTCTCATGTATATATACACACACATATACATATATATATATACATATAGATCTACTAACACATCATAGAACAAAACTATGGAAAATGACTTTATATACATTATAATATATATGGGAAAGTGATTTTATTTATATATGGAAAGTGGTTACATATATATTAATAGCTACTTAAACATTATAGAACAAAATTATGGAAAACATGAATTGCCATCATATAGAAAATACTCTGGCTTTTTGGTGGTGATGTTGTTCAACATACCATTTTTGAGATAACAACCAGGAATTTTTTTATTTTTCATTATTGAACAAATATTTCATTTTATGAACATACTACAGTTTGTGGTATTCAGTTAATATTGATTTTTCACTTGTTTCCAGTTTTGGTGGGGTATTTTTTTGTTTTTGTTTTGTTTTTTTACTGTTGTGAATAAAGCTTCTAGGAACATTTTTTTTATAAGTCATTTCATAGACATTCATTTTTATATCTATTTGATAAATACCTAGGAGTGGAATTACTGGGTACCTGTGATTTTTTTTTTTTTAATATGAGGGAAGATGTTAAAATATATACACCTTTTTAAATGTTTTTTTTTCTTTATTTTGTGTGGTGCTGTGTATCCAAACAAGTGGCCCACATGTGCTAGACTACCACTGAATTACATCTCCAGCCCCTAAATGTTTCATCATTAAGTGGGGTGTTAGTTGAGCATCTACTAACACTTTTATTTGTATTGTACACATTTTTATATATTTATTTGTGGATAATTCTAATTTGATAGGGCCGCTGAAAAACAGAATCTCCAAATTTAGGTTTTAAGAAATGCTCTACTATGCATGTAAATACAGTTTATTGGACAACCAAAAAAAACCCACCAGAATCCTTATAATGTTTTTGCAGCAGAGTTGTTCCCCTATCTTAACCTTCCCTGTTATAAGCCATCTCCAAGTTTAATTCCCAGTTGGTGTAGGGCAGCTGCCATCTGGTGCTCCCATCTAAGTGCTGAGCATTAGTGACTGACCACACATGTTAGTTGTTCAGTGATAAATTCAGTGTAATACAAGGAGTTTTAAAATTTTATTGTTAGAGGATCAAATTCTTTCATTCTTATAAATATTCAACAATATACTGTATCTAACTTGAAAATGCACATAGGTGTGAACCATGAGCTGTTTTGACAGGATAGGTTCACTAATAATCAGAGGTAAATATTTTCTGCCTTGAGATCTCTTTATAATCCTTACGTTAAAAAGTAACCCTTGGGCTCGGGATATAGCTCAATTGGTAGAGTGCGCAAGTTGCCTCACATAAACAAGGCCCTGGGTTGAATCCTCAGCACCATGGAAGGGAAAAAAAGTTATCCTTCATTTTGGGTACCTTCTCAGGTCATTCTGTGTCTTCCTTTCAAAGTTTTGAATTATTTTGTTGTTTTGAGGTGATTTGACCCATTGAGGCATACATCAATTTTGTATGACTTTTTATTGTATTACCTATCTGTTTTTCTCATTATTAATAATGTCTGATATAAACTTTCTAAACATTATTCAATATTAATTTAGTGTTATTCTTAAAAAGACATTATATATTCATTATTTTTATAATATTTCTCCTACAGATTTTATGTGATTTATTATCACCTGAAAACTTAAAAGAAGGCTTGAAGGAATCTTCCTGGAATTCGTTACCATGTATTAAAAACAAACCTTTAGGTTTTCCTTCTGTAATGGAAGAATCTCACACTCCCAGTGAGCTTAACCTGAAGCAGGTAAGGGGTAAGAAGAAAATATGGGTGTAGTGCATCTGTTTTTTTGTTTTTAATATTTATTCTTTAGTTTTAGGTGGACACAATATCTTTATTTTACATATATGTGGTGCTGAGGATCGAACCCCGCACCTCAAGCATGCTAGGCAAGCGCTCTACCACTGAGCCACAACCCCAGTCCCTCTTTTTTTTTTTTTACATGTTAAGATCTTTGCTTTCCTGGTTTCAAGCACTTGAACCCATTCAAGCACTTGTCTAGTTATCTTAATAGAATTTTGTCTGCAGTCGTTCATTTATAGTAAAAGTTTTCATGGGAAATATTTACTAATCACAATTTTAGGTCACTTAAATGTCAGAAAACTTTTAGTTTCTTTGAATATGTAGAACATTATTTTAGTACTTTATAGAACATTGTATTTATTTTAGTACTTTATGAACAACTATATTAGCATGACTACTTTAAACCTCATTATAACATAAGTCAGCTTATATTAATACTGTCAAACATCATTTACTTGAGGGGGCTTTGGAATTAAAAGTGGGTGCTATTAGTGAGCATCAAAATGAACATTATAAGGCACCAAAATTTCATTTAGTTTGATTTTTGGCTAGAATAATAATGGATAATAAAGAAATGGGGTTATCTTTGTTGATTATATTTCTGTAGACTGAAGAACTACCAGAGGATACTTCAGAACCTGTCAGAGGAAGTTTAAACCGTGCTCAGTCAGCACAGGCTATCAATTCAAAAGATATGCCTGCCAGAGATGATTGTTTAAAAAGGGTATCCTCAGAACCTTTACTCTCTGTTCAGGAAAAAGGTGTTCTGCTAAAAAGAAAGCTGTCTCTCTTAGAACAAGATGTGGTTGTAAGTGAAGATGGAAGAAATAAGCTTAAAAAACAAGGAGGTAAAAATTTCAGTGTACTCATATGAAATAAATTTATTTATTCAGTATGTCCTTTAAACTTTTTTCTAAAGAAGAAAACTGTTGTTTGTTTGAATAGAAACGCCTAGTGAAGTCTGTATGTTTTCATTAGATTATGGCGACATCCCAGAAGAATTAATAGATGTCTCAGATTTTGAGTGTTCTCTCTGCATGAGGTCAGTATGTAAAATTTTCTAGACAAATATTTTGTATTAATGTAAATATAAATAATGGTAATAATAGGCAATATAAAGTAATAGAATTCTAGACTAAATATCAGAAGATACAAATTTTTAGTCCTGGATTTACCTTTTATACTTTGGGCAATTAACCAAATCTCTGAATTTCAGTTTTTCTTATTTAAGAAGTAGGGTCAATATTGGCATTGATTATGTCCAGCATTGTGAGAATCCAGTAGTTTAAGTATAAAAGAAGAATCTGGGAAGTTGTAAGTAACTATGAAAGTTATAGATATTATATTTAAACCTAGATATAGCTATGGTTTTAGATTTGGATAAGAATTCTAATTGTACATTTTATGTTTATGATTCTAACTTGTTTTTATTAATCATAAAATCCTTTTTAAGTAACGTTGGATAAGGATATCCATTGTGCAGACTACTTTTAATTCTTTAAGACTGAATGTTTTGAAAGAATATTTCTTATTTATGTAAATTGTAGTAAAAATCAAGGATTAATGAAGAGTCAAGAGCTCTGAAACAGGTTATACTAAGCTGGGAGTAATTAGTTGTATTCCTGAGCAAATCTATTAATTCTTAGCTTCTGAGGTGAGGAGATTATACCAGGTGATTTCTAAAGTACCTATAAATCTGACAATATTTCTAGGGAATGTAAAATATCATGTTTTAGGAAATAATTATAAAGTTTTTCTGCGTTGAGTATTGCATCTAGTATTAAGCCTAATAGTTATTTAGGATTCAACAGTAATATGTAGTGATTATTCTTTTAATGAATTTTATATAGTAATGCTACTAAGAGAACCATTTTTAAGTTGATGATAAATTGGGAATCTGAAACCATACAAAAATAATAATTAAATTATTTATTTTCACTAAGTCTTTGAAATCTGGTGTGCATTTTATATTTGCTGTATGTCTCAATTTAAACTAGTAGCATTTCAAGTGCTCAGTTAGCCTCATGTGTTGTTCTATAGCTGTCATATTAGTCAGCACAGGTTTTGGCTCCAAGTGGCCTTTGTTGATTGAGAACTTTAGTTCAGGAAGGTATAATTGTCCTTGTCACTGCCCTTCCCCTCCTTTTCCTGCTCATCAGGCCCTCCTTCTTCTTCTTCTTCTTCTTAAGTAGAGGTTAGCATTGGTCTATAATTTAGTGTAAGCTTTTCAAATGGATAGTTTAATTTGAAAACTAATATGTATTTTGGTTGTTTTCAGGTTGTTTTTTGAGCCAGTAACAACCCCTTGTGGACATTCATTCTGTAAGAATTGTCTTGAGCGCTGTTTAGATCATGCACCATATTGTCCCCTTTGCAAAGAAAGCTTAAAAGAGGTAAATATATATCTATTAATATCTGTTTATTGGTCTTAATTTGGTTACACGATCTGATTTCTGTTCAGCCATAGAAATAGTGGCTATATTGTCCAGAATGAGGTATGTTACCTATGCTGAGTGACTAAAAAAAAAAATATTTTATTATCCATATGCTAATGTAGGATAAAAATGAAATTGAGAGAGTAGAGGAAAGAAGATAGGTACAAAATACGAAGCCTTTTGTAGTTAAATTTGTTTTTAACAAAAAGAATTATGGTCAGTTACTTGGTCATAGATAAGTTCAGTTTTATTTTAATTATTTAAAAAATTTTATTTATTTGTTTGTGGTGTTGAGAATTGAACCCAGAGCCTCACACATGCTAAGCAAGCGTTCTTCCATTGAGCTATAACCCCATCCCAATAAGTTCAGTCTTAATGATGACAATATTAGAGAAATCATACTGCATTGCCTTTTTCCCTTGATAGTAAGCCAGATTTTAAGCCTCTCCCAGCTCACTTAACATGTAGAACAGTAGAGCCTTCTGCACTGATAAAAATACTGTATATCTTTGCTATCCAGGATGGTAGCCACTAGCCACTTATGACTGGTTAAGTACTTGAATTGTGGCTTATGTGACTTAGGAACTATGGTTTTAGTTTTGTTTAATTAGCTTAAATTTAAGTAGGTACATGGCTACCACACTACATAGTGCTGCTCTGGAAAATGCTAGACTAGAAGGAAATAGGTGGATGTAGCTTTCCACAGTCCTCTCTGAGTCTGTGATCATTGCCAATGACCTGTGAAATCAGTAGATCTCAGTGTAGTCTCCTGCCCCAAGGGGAGGACAGTACCCTCTCAGTCATGTTTGAATGATCAACTAAGGTACAGTGCAAGCCTTGTGATGCTGAGCAATGATGGGGAAAGTGATTCTGTCTGCTGTGACTGACGGGATTGTTTACAGGAAAAGAAAGTCTTCCAAATATGAATAAAAAATTTATAAAAGCATTTTGATTATAGTTATTTCCTATATTAGAAAACAGGACTCTTTACAGATGGCTTAATAGCCTACGCATACTGTTGACATTTGATATATGCTTTACTCACAATGCAAGCTGATATGTAAAGCAATACCGAATACAGAATGTTTGCAAAGTCAGGATACATAAGATAAAGTTATTCTTAAGAAGTTTGCTCATTACTTTTTCAACTAATATGATCAGTGTTTTCAGATAAAGTATTCTAAACCTGTTTTTCTAGACGTTTTAGATACTCTAGTATAATTATGCTTCTTTTCAGATTAGCTATTAGATCCACTGATTTCATTTAGAGACAGTTTTTTCTTAAAAACTATTGGAATTCAAAGAAAAACAGAGCATGTTATTTGAAAACACAGCTAACATACTGTTTTAAAATGTGTATCCTCTCCAACTTTGAAGCTACTTTGCATGATATAGTTTGTAAAATCTAAATATATGGAATTTTAAAGAGGTGGGTGTAGTTTTCCATAATCCTCTCTCAGAGTCTGTGATCATTGCCAATGACCTGTAAAACCAGTAGATCTCAGTGGAGATATTAATAATATCAATATTAGTTGATATTATTGAATAATAATTAATAACATCAATATTACATTATTCTCCACAGTTTTACATTTTTTCTACTTGTCATTTTAATTTGTTCATTTTTACATTTAAATATATTTTAATGACCTAATTTTGAGAGCAGTATAACAGTAAAATAATTTAGCATTTCTCTATTATTCAGTTTAGAAGTTATTTTTTTCATCTTTTTTTATTATACCATGCTTTTGTGAAAAGAATTTTAAAGTAATGATTGTATGAATTGTTAATTGTTCATTAGGTTAAATTCCTGGGAGGTGAATTTACTGGATCAAAAGCTTTATAAAACTCTTAAAACCAATTGCCAGATTATCTAGCCCACAGAAATGTTACACATATTTCGAATTCCTATCAGTAATGTAAAAGAGGCCATTTCCCCACAACTTTAATTACATGGGCATTCATTTTTCAAGCATGTTTATCAATATAATCGATAATAGAGAACTGCTTTTATAGTATCTTATTCTGATTAATCTTATCATAAACTCTTGAATTATCTCTGTACATATTTTCTGCTTAAGGGTACTTCTCTAAATCTATAGCCCAGTGGTTCTTAAAATATGTTCCCCTGACCAGTAGCATCTGTATCACCTGAAAACTTGTTGGAAATATACATTCTCAGACCCCACTCCATATCCACTAATCAGAATTTCAGGTAGAGCTCAGCAATTCATATTTTAACAAGCCCTGATTGATACTTAAATTTGAAAACCACTTCTACATCATTTTACCAAAGTCTCACATTTCCTAATGTATTTGTCATTGGATATTGACACATACCTACCCCCCACCCTTTTTCTGGCTCTATAGATTAAATGATAGGTTCTCTTTGTCTTGTGATTGTCTCCCAAGAGTTTTTCTTCACTATGTGTGTTTAATAAAATTTATATTAGCATTTTCTGTGTACTCAGTCTTACCTGGTCCTTGGCCCTAAGCAATTTTTAGTTTAATTACAGAGGTACAATTATCCATATTTATATAATACAATGCAGGGAATGGTAAGTTCTTGTATATGGTAAAATATGGGGATTTAGGGTGACAGAAAAATAAGAAAAGCTTTATAATAAAAAGGTAAATTTGGAGCCAGTCTTAAAGGATAGTTTCTTTTTATAAGCAGGAGTGAAATAGATGGTTTTTATCAGTTGAAATAGAAAATGACACAAAAATGCACAAGGACTGCAGTTCAGTGTTTAAGAAGTAGCATAAATGTACCATTTTGTATAGGGGGTGGTGGATCACACAGTAATAGTGTATCCTGATATAAGGTCTGAGTGACCGTGACAATAATAGGAAAACTTGAAAGAAAAATTATCCAGAGTCTTTGCCTCTGAAAGCGGTAACCAAAGAGAAGGAATTGTTTTGTTTTTCTTCAATAAGGGAAATGCATTATATTCTTCAGCCTTATTTTCATTTTGTTTCTGAGTCAAAATAATAGTTTCAGTAAGTACCATGAGCTGTCAGGTGGAAACTGGCCTGTGTTGTGGGAGATGGAAGGGGCAAGGGTGGCCACTGCTAATGAAGGATTTTTGATTATAGCAACAAACATTCTTAAATGCAGTGTTTGGTTCGGGTTGCAACCTTGTACCTTGAATGCTTTTGAGGAAAGCCTCAGATAGGTTTACTTGTGCAGGGTGCAGCATTATCCACTGCTATGTCCCCTCCCTAATTAAACTTACTCAGAATCGACTGTATATGGAATAAAAAGCTTTAATATATCAGTTAAACTGTTTCACATGTTTTATACCATAGGAAATCAACTGGAATGTAAAATAATATTGTCTTTTAGTATCTAGCAGATAGGAGGTACTGTGTCACACAGCTGTTGGAAGAATTAATAGTGAAGTATCTGCCTGATGAACTGTCTGAGAGAAAAAAAATATATGATGAAGAAACTGCTGAACTCTCACAGTAAGTTTCTTCTCATAAAAATTAACTTGGTCAAATCACAAACCATTACCCTTGAAAATAGTAATGAAAAATCCCACAGTAAACTGGATCCTGTCCTTAAGTCACTCTAGCCAAGGCATATTTTTAAAAAATAGTGATTAACTTCCCCATATCCTCAGCAGACAAAGTTTATTTTAAAAGTTCATTTGGTAGTGTCTAGGTGTTCTAATAGGGAGTTTTGGACTCATTTCTTTGGACTGAAGTATTATTGAGGTGGGAGAGGAATTTCCTGAGTTACAGTCAAGCAGTGGAATGGGGGTTAGAGAGATGGAGCCTGTAACAGTAACATGGATGGTAACAGTAGCTCTCTTGTCTCATGACCCTGTAGGAGGTAAACAGTAAATGACTTAAGTTAGCAGGGGATTTTTAGCCAATTAGAGGTTTGGAAGGGGACCAAAGACTGAAATTTGAAGGAATGACTTAGAGGCCAAATTATCAGAAAAAAATACCGAATGTGGGCAGAACTAAGATAGGATCAGACAGGTGAAACTCCCAAGGTGCCTTTGGTATATAGTAACACACCACTGTTAGGGCACAAACAACTGATTGGAGCTTGGTAGGTTGGGCCTGCCTTTGATTGCCCTGTACTACTTTCTTATACTTTTCTCTCCTTCTTTTCCTTTAATGTCTTTCCCTCTTTTACTAATCACTGAGGTCTCTCTGAATTTCTTACACAGGTTTTTAATTTGTTAACTCTGCTTCTTTCACTTTGCTTTAACTGAACACCCTGAAGAACAATATTGTAATCTTATATGCTGTTTTTATTTAATAAATTTTTTGCTTCTATCATATTTCAAAACATAAATGGAACATTTTCTATTTCTGTTTCTAAAGCAAAATCAATTGTACTTGTAGACGTTTCTTTTTCGATATGTGCCCATCAAGTGTCAATAGGCTATTGACCTTCAATAAAAGAAAGATTTGTATTGTTTTCTTTATAGAAATTGATAGTAACTTGTCTTTCCACAGAATTGACATTTTGTGTGGTTTTATGATAGAAAATATTCTGATGTGAGGGCTGTGAACCTTTTTGATCAGCACTGAAAAGTCTAGATTTAAGAAAACTGCAGCTTGATCTTTTAAATCTTAGTGATGCAGCCTGACTGCTGTCAGAGGAGTGGTAAAAGCAAGGGAAGGAGAAGCCCTAGCATACGGAGATCTGAGGGTGGTGGAAAGAAGCTGAAGGAAATCTTGCTTATTACTCATGGGGCTATTTTTTTAAAAAATTAAACATGTTTTTATTAAGTATTATATTTACATAAGTAATTTATGGTCATTTTGAAGAAGACTACAAAATGAGCAGAAACACCATATCTGGTAACCCAAAAAAGAATCACAGGTGACATTTTGGCATGTCTTCCCAGACTTTACTGTATAGATAAGTTAGTGTTCTCTAACCTCCTCCTCACATCAACACAGTTTTTCTAAGTCAGTGTTGGACACCGTTGTCTTTCAGTGGAAAGCATAGTATTTCATTTTAGTGTTAAACCATACTTCACCAGTCTCTTGTTTTTGCTTCCAAGTTTTGGCTACTATACAATGCTAAAGTGAGCATTCGTATAGTAATTACAGGATTATTTCTCAAAGCCTGTTAGTTCCAAGCACACGGACATTTCCTATCAAAAACAAAATTTCTGATCTACCGAGCCAAGTGCTTATTTGGCATGCTTATACTATTTAAAACTGTCCCATGGTACTAATCTTCCCCCCCTCCATAGCCTTTATTCTTCTTTTCTATCAATCTGGTAGTGAAAAATATTATACCATTTTAGGGTTATCTGGAAAAAATGTTATCTAGTTGATTTTTATTTTATTTTTTGGTACTGGGAATTGAAGCCAGAGGCGCTTAACCGTTGAGCCACGTCCTCAGCTTTTTTTATATGTATTATTTTGAGACAGGGTTTTACTAAAGTGCTTAGGGCCTTGCTAAGTTGCTGAGGCTGGCTTTGAACTCAGGATCCTTCTCCTGCCTCAGCCTCCTAAGCCACTGGGATTACAGGCAGACAATGCCACTGTGCCCAGTTGAATTATGTTTTTTGATCATTTGAAAATATTTTAATGCCTAAGAAGTTTTAACTACTTGCTTTTTTCTATTGTGGGAGCTCATCATTGTTATCTAGTAATTACAGTATATTTTATGGATAAATGAAATTAATACTGTACTTTGTTATAAATATTTTAAACATATTTTAATATAAAATGTTAGTTATAACAAATTCCCTTTTGATTTATAAAGATACTTATCTCTGTGTGATAACCTAGTATTTTGAAATTCAAACTTATAAATAAGAGGATCACAAACAGATTTTTAGAGTTAATATGGCATCAGTGTGAGTTTAATGAAGGTGTTGCTGGTTCTTATTCTTGCCAGGAATTAAAATCATATTATTTAGAACTGATTTGGTTTTGTTTTTCATTTATTTAAAGCTATTATAAACATCACTTGTTCTATTGTATGTTTTGATCCCTAATAATGAAACATCTTTTCCTTCAGCTTGACCAAGAATGTTCCAATATTTGTTTGCACTATGGCCTACCCCACTGTGCCTTGTCCTCTTCATGTGTTTGAGCCAAGATACAGACTGATGATTCGAAGAAGTATACAGACTGGAACCAAGCAGTTTGGGATGTGTGTCAGTGACACACAAAATAGGTATGCTTTTTGTGAACTTAAATGTTTTTATTTATGCTGGAACTTTCTTTGAACAAGAATGAGAACTTGTACACTTACTTTGACACTGACCTTATTTTTCTTTCAGTTTTGCAGATTATGGTTGTATGTTACAAATTAGAAATGTACATTTCTTACCTGATGGAAGGTCTGTGGTTGATACAGTTGGAGGAAAGCGGTTTAGGGTTCTAAAAAGAGGAATGAAAGATGGATATTGCACTGCAGACATTGAATACCTGGAAGATGTTAAGGTATTTAAAATGTTATCTTTCTAGCACACCCTGGTCTACCCAGTGATTGTGATGCAGGCATACAGGCTGATATTTTCTAGGCACATGAATCAATTCTTACTTTCGGAGACCCTCATTACTGTTCCTTATGAAAATTAGCTCCAGGTGCCTTTTTCTTATCTTGAGTTTGAATTGTTATACATTCGGGAGAATTTGAGAGCCTAGAACCTCCATCCTCTTCATTTTTGCATGCTTGCCCACCAGCACAGTGTCTAGATTGTATGTGTTGATACGTACACACATGCATGTATGTATATGCTTGATAGTTATTAAACAGTAGCAGTTGACTAAGTTGAACTGCCAACCCATCTAAGTTTTCAAAAGTTGCTAATCTGTCTTGTTTTATGGAATTTGTTAGTAATCAAAGGTTGATACAATTAGTAGACTGAAAGATAAACATTAAAATCTTCACAAATTAAAATTGTTCCTGTGCCTAAGATCACCTTAATGATAAAATAAATACAGTTGAATGCTGTGTTAAAACTGTCAGGCATCACAGATAAAGTACTGTCAAGTATATGTATTGGTGATACCTCATCTGGGAAGGGCATGATGGAGGTACCTTCTTGGATAGGATTAATGTGGCCTTTTTGATGTTTCCAGAACCTAATTCACTAACTTCAGTTAATTGAGGTACTGGAAAAATGACTTGTGATGTTATAAGTATCAAATTGAAGCTACTTTCTTTGGCAAAGGAATTATAAAAGCAAATCTTACATTAATCACTTATTTATTGATCTATTTATGTCTTTCATTTCAGTCAACATTTATTGAATCTTGATTTTAGACATTTTCCTAATCATTAGTTCATTGAATTTTCACAACTATAAAATAACAGATGAGGAAAGTACAATTCAGAGGTATTAATTAATTTACCCAAACTTCTGTATGTTATCTAACAAAATGATTCAAAGCCAACTATTTGCTCCCAAGCTATGTGCTTTATGTTTGTACCATATTGCCTCTCTGGTGATAAACTTAATTAGTTTGCTATCACCTGTCTTATCTTATTGTATACATGCCATTGGGACACTTTGCTCTGTGCAGCAGACCAAAAATATTGGGTAGTTGAAATTTTGGGTTGAAGGTATACTTTGTACTTTGGGCGTTGGTTAATGGAAACTTTATCGAAGGTAATGCTCTATGTAAGACTAATAACCCTATATTAATTTTATGTAAATTTACATCTTCATATATTGCATTTGATGTGAAAATCTCTTGAGTGTATAGCTAAACATATTTGTGTATATACACATACAATAGGGTGATATACTGAAAACATGTTTAGAAAGTTGAATCCTTTGTGTGGTCTTAGGAATTTATTTTTTCTCACCTTAGTAGCATCTAAATAGTGATTTTCTTGTCCATCCTGGAAACTCTTCTCAAATTTGTTTCTATTTCAAAGTATTTTTTTTCTTATTATAGTAATTATTTTTGTGACTTCTAATGAAAGTTTAAGTTCTATTATATTATTACATAGAGTTCTAAATCTAGCTTTTAAAATTCCTGCAAGCTTCCTGGTTGGCTCCTTCTTCTAAGACTCATGGAGTTATTCCACAGCCCATGGTTCATTTTTTCAGTTTTGTAAGGGTGTTAAAGGAGATAATTTTTTATCTATTTTAATAATTTGATAGGTCACAAGTTTGTTTTTTACTCATATCAATTCCTGTGTATGTTAGCAGGTGACTAAATCTTGTATAGTCATTGCAAGACCATAATTGTTCAATCATAAGGTCTTTGCTCCCCTTTTTAAAAATTTTTAATAAAATGCACGCAAAATTTACCATTTTAGCCATTTTTAAATGTACAGTTCAGTGACATTAATACATTTGTGCTGCTGGGCTGGGGTTGCGGCTCAGTGGTAGAGCACTCGCTTAGCACATGTAAGGCCCTAAGTTCAATCCTCAGCACCACGTAAAAAATAAATGGATAAGATAAAGGTATTCTGTCCAACTACAACTAATATATATATAATATAAAAAATACATTCATGCTGTTATGCAAAATATAGATCCTTTTAAAAGTTTATTTCTAATTTTTATTTCAATTTTTCAAAAGAAAAAAGTCTGTTCTTTTGTCTGTTGTATGCTATAGTCTTACCTTTTATATTTTAAAATCTTTTCAGAGTCCTTTTGTTGTTTTCATGTTAGTCATCCTTGAAGTATGAAAGGCTTAGTCAGCCTGCAATTTGTTCAGATGAGTTAATATATATGAAACAGAGGGTGAGCTGGCAATGTAGCAAGTGGGATGTAAGTGTATGTCAAAGGAATGGTTATAAGATAGGTGAATTAACCTAGATCTTCCACCTGTGTTCTGTTGGATTCTTCTTCAGGCTGGAAGACTGATGCACCTGTTTTACACATGCAGTTTGGTCATTCAGTAAGCTCAAGGTTACGCTGAGGTATTGTAGAGTTACCACAGATATGATAGCTTTGATATAGCCTTGTGATGTTAGAGCAGAAGTCAAACATTATATAAATTATCCTCAAATTTTTTATTTCCTGGCATTGTATAACATGGTTATTTATTGCTATTTATTGTTTGGTTTTGTGTTTTGACCCAGTTTCCTGGTAAAAGATGTATTTTTGTCCTCCTCTTGTTACTACTTGTTGGTATGTGTTCTGCATTCTGACCCCTATTTTTCCTTTTATTGTAGTAGCTCTCTTTTACTTTTGTGTTCTACTTACTTCAGAAATCAGAAGGCATTCCAAATTTCTATAGACCTTTGAGCCAGAACTTACTCTCAACCTTACAGACAGGGTTACTATCTGTAGGGCTTAGCAAGGCTAGATGGAAGTCAGGCTTTGCTGTCTTTCTTTAGTCTGTCCCTTTAGCACTATGTGAGGCAGAGAATATATTATAGCTAAAGACTATAATATATAGTCTTAGAACTAAGGTAAGTTCTCCTTGTTTTCTGATACTGTTTTGCATTTCTGTTTGTTTGGTGATGTGGACAGGAAGATGAGACACAGGTAACTTACTGACCATTCTTTCTAGGTTGAAAATGAAGATGAGATCAAGAGTCTCAGAGAGCTTCATGATTTGGTATACTCTCAAGCCTGCAGCTGGTTTCAGAATTTAAGAGATAGATTTCGAAGCCAGATTCTTCAGCACTTTGGATCAATGCCTGAGAGGGAGGAAAACCTTCAGGTATAATGGCTTTTTTTTTTTTTTTTTTTTTTAAAGAGAGAGTGAGATACAGAGAGAGAGAGAATTTTTTTTTAATATTTATTTTTTAGTTTTCGCCGGACATAACATCTTTCTTTGTATGTGGTGCTAAGGATCGAACCCGAGTCGCACGCATGCCAGGCGGGCGCGCTACCGCTTGAGCCACATCCCCAGCCCATGATGGCTTTGATATTGCTTCCAAAAGTGTCACTTTTTTTTAATAAACAAAAATTAATAGCTTTTCATTTTTATTTTCATTTTCTCTGTTTTAAATAGCATTTTTTACCCTCCCCCACTCATCTTTAGAATTGACTACATTCTTCAAAGCAGGGGTTTCTACTATGTTTTACATAGCAGATGAGCAGAGGATTGAAAATAGTTATCAGATAAAATGCCTGTGGGAGGAAGTGGCAGAGAAGGAGAAAGTAAATACCTGAGGATTTTCAAAAGGAGGGATAAGGAATTTAAAATGGGACATTATCTGCCCTTAAACTGTGACTACAAGATAGCTGTGTCTTTGAGCTCATCAGCTGTTACTCTTATTGTTTGACACTGAAGAGTTGTGCAATTTTCTGTACTTGTTAAAAATTCTTTCTTACCTCTTCTTTTATTCCCAATATCTTACCCACTATTTTAATCCATTTTTGTCCATTTGTTTAATATTTCACTGTTCATGAAGCTATTATTCTTAAGGTCTTGTTCAGGTACTTGGAGTTTACATGTATGCTTAATCTAATTAATGTGTATTAAGCACTTGTGTGCAGATCTGCGTAGTAGGTACTGCAGGAGGCATATAAGAAGGGTTCCTCTCCTGGGAAATCTGATTATAGACTCATCAAATGCCAACTTTTAGGTGTAAACATTTTGAATTGAATGAAGTGTGATAGATTACATAAAGGAATGACTATAAACAGTTATACAAAGATGGAGAATCTACAGTGATTCATACTGCTTCACATTCACTTTTTCAAGGGTTGGTCTAAGTCTATCTGAATCCCAATTGAATCCTTCATCTGAACTTGAAATTTCAACATCAGGCCACCTCCAAATTGTCTAACATATTATAGTTGCCATGTGTTTGTTTTATCCTGGCTGCTTGAATCTAATTAAATGTGACCAAAATGGGCTCTAATAAAAACAAAACTGAACAAGTAAATTTTAAATCTTGGGGAAAAAAAAAAACCTAAATAAAAATTCATCATTGCTTTCTTATCATCTTCACCACCCTGCTCATTTATCTTCAGTCCTTTCTGTTAATAATAGTATGAACCAGGATTCAGTCAGGAAAACAGAAGCAGCCATTTTGCATATTCCAGGAATGAAGGGTTTACTATAAAACATAAAGTATTATACACAATAGTTGGAGAGCTGATAGAGCAAAGGTCAGGGATGTTTCCATCAGAGGTCAGGAAATCTGTTGCCATAGATCACCTGCAACAGTGAAGCAGGGTGCTTCTGAATAAACTGTGGGGAAGCTGTTATAATTCTTAGGAATTATAGGCCCTATCAGTATTTCTACAGCAGTGGAGCCGGTAGTTTTCAAGAATTCTCTGTAAAGCTACTGCCCTCACTTTGTAGCAGTCTCTAGAGAAGAACAACCTCTTTTCCAATTTCCACATCTCCCAAGAGTGCCTCTAACCTGGAGTGAAATGAAAGAGGAAATTCTGGGAAATGTAGTTTTTGATGTTGAAAAGCAGAAGGAGCTACTGGTGAGGCTGGGTTGAGAAACAGGCATTACACAAATATAGAAATCTAACTTGGTTCTAAAAGAAGCTTACTGAGATCAACACTCTGGTAGTTCCTTTTTATCATTCTGAAACTTCACATTTCAGGTCCAATGTAAAGCAATAATGTGCAGTAAGAGGCTTACGAATCCTTTTATGTAAATTCCTAGTTGTTTTGGTAGCCACTGGTTAGCCCTTGAAACATAGAGGGACTTCTTTGTGGAGATATGTTTCTTTTTCAAACAAAACAGGAAGCCAAGATTTTTTTTTCTTATATCTTTTTTAGGATTCCATAATAAAAAGAAAATTTTAAATATCAATTAACTTTTTAATGCTTTAAATATGTATTTTAAGGAAACAGTTAACTAGGACTAGTTTTTTTCCCATGGGACATTTGACACTACCTGGAGGCATTTTTAGATATAAAACTGCAGATGTGCTGTTGGCATTTAGTGAATAGAGGTCATAGATGCTGCTAGTACTACAGTGCACAGCCTCACACTACAAAAGATTATCTGGCCCCAAATGTCAGTAGCCTGAGGTGGAGAAACCATGGCTTAAGGCAGTGTCATCCAGAGGAAAGAGGGCTGGCTGTGGAGCCAGATCTGGATTGAAATATTTGCTGTGTATCATACAAGCTAAGAGATCTTGGACAATGGAATTATGTTTCCAAGCTTTAGTTTCCCCATTTATTTAGGCTTAAAATGGTATCCTGCCATTATGATTATTAATGGAATTCGAGATGGCACCTCACACATATTAAAGTGCTCAGTCAGTAGTAGGTTTTTAGTTATTATTGCATAAATACTTGTTTTATTAATATATTAACTGTTTATTAATTTCAGGCAACCCCTAATGGACCTGCATGGTGTTGGTGGCTTCTTGCAGTTCTTCCTGTAGATCCTCGATATCAGTTGTCAGTCTTGTCAATGAAGTCTTTGGAAGAACGGCTGACAAAGATACAGCATATACTGACCTATTTTTCTAGAGACCAATCTAAATAACTAACTGCTTGGATCTTACTTTAACATAATCCTAATCTGGCTGTGTGAACAGCTAGATTGTCCGCTGCCTTTGCACATCCAGTGCTGGTCTAAGAAATGTAATGAAACTTTTTTTTTCCTTCAACCTCCTGAATCGTGGATTTTCAAATGAATACCTTCAACTAGGATTTAGACCACTAAGAACTTGCACAGAAAAACACGCACTGAATGTGTGTTAAACCTCTACATTGTGATGAAGTTGCACTATGTACCATATTCTAAAATGAATTAAGAACTCAGTGTATGTATGTAGTATGTATGTGTGTGTGTGTGAGTGGGTGCGCCTGTGTGAGCAGTATGTGTGTATTTTCTCTGGCTTTAAAATTTTAAAAGAAAAAAAAAAGCCATAGAGAGCAGAATTTGCCGAGGGTCATTTATTGCCCAAGTTTACAACAATAGCGATAGAAGTTTTTGCAAATGGAATTTGCCTCAGATTTATTTGTCCTAATGCTTATATTTGCACAAGTATGTAAAATATGGTACTGAGTATCATTCTTTGTTGGAAATACTGCTCTTACTGAACTGTCTTGACCAGTAACTATGACACAGTTTCTTTCTTATTTATGTAAATAACTTGCATCCCAGTGACCGACAGGCATTGGATGCAGAACCTAGAGCCAGTTTTCAGGAACAATTGCAAATCTGACATGGTACTGTGCATCTATTCATAAAATACTTAAAACTGTGAAAATATGGTTTACATTTAATTGTACATAAAGGTAAATGGAGAACTCAATTCAGTACCAGTTAGTTTGTACATTTTAGGGGGCTTTTCACATTAACTGCCCATGTATGTAATTTATAGTTTGACATGATGTGTTTGTTTAAAAAGTTACGTAGTATAAACCCATTAAGGATCTGAGGAGAGAGAAGAAGCTTAATGTAGAACTAAGCTTTTAAAAGTTTGTTTTGTTTTTAATTCTGGTCTTGGTGCGAATGTTAGTTATGCCTTATTCATACCACAGTTAGGTCACCATGCTGTGACATGGTTTCTATTCATGCTGCCCTAGATACTTTTGTAATTATTTGTTGCAAACTTGTGACTGTCCCTATTAACTTTCTTTTATGTAAGTAATTTGTAAAAGTTTCTTAAAATTTTTGCTTTTGCTTATTTAATTTTGAATAAAAGCTTAATTCATAATAGTTTTTCTCTTAAATATTAGATCAGTGTCAAAAAAAAAAAAAGATCAGTAGAGGAACCAAACTATATATAGTAAAGAACAAATGGGTTTTGCTTACTGTTTTATGTTAAGACATGAGCTGTGGTTTTCAAAATGCTTGTTTACGTTTTTAAGCAAATAATGAAGTATCTTGAGGCTTCTGAGATCCTACAGCCATCATTTAAAACAGTTTTAATCTTTTAAGAAATCCATGTCCCTTTAGATAAAATTCTTTCTTAATGCTACCCCACTTGAGACTCCTGTGTATTAGACTTGACTATTTCTGCCCTCAGTTTCCCAGCCAAGATTTTCCAAGTAAGTCATCTTTTAATATTCAGTATTTTTATAAAAAATAGTGAAGACATGACTCTCTAGAAGACCACCTTCACACTCACAATTATGCCAATTAAGACTCTGTTCAATAATTCTGCAGAAAACATCTAAGGAATAGCTATTCCCTGAAGCATCAGTAGTTTCTGAAATATTCAATTTTCTTATATTTAAAAAAATGCATGATAAGGGATTTGTTAGTATAAATGAAGATTTTATCTATATATTTCTCAAAATATATCAAATGGCAAAAGGAATTACCTGGGTGTTGAATCCACATTTTTAATATATAATGGACATGTATGTGTACACACTCAAAGGGGCATTTAATGATTTCCATATATGTACACGTTTTATACATACCAATAGAAATTTGTGGGCCTTATTTATTATTTGATCCTAATTCTGTGACAAATGATCTCTGACAATTACTCTAGATTTTTTTTAGACCATGATAATTTTTTCCCCACTGCATCTTTCATGGGGAAAAGAGCAAAAGAATCAAAGATTTTTTCCCTTATCACTTTAGGTGCCTAAGTTATGTCATGAATTCAACATTTCAAGCCAAAGTAGCTAGCTGTCGCTCTTTATACACCTGTCTGCATGTCCACTTCTTCCTGTTCTTCAAGGTCCAACTCAGGTAGGAGAACTATGAACTCCATAACATCTTCACATACTTTGCTATGAACTGATGGGGGTAATTTAAATAAATACACCAACCAAGCTCTTTGGAGTATTATGACAGTTTAGTAGTTCAGACAGATTTAGGATTTAAGTAGTCATTGGTTAACTGCTAAACATAATTGGGATAAGTGCCAATTAAGAAAAGAGATTAAGATGGTAAGACTGCACAAATACTTTCATCTCCTCCTCTTTCCTAAATTAAAGAAAATGAAACATAGTGACATTATGAAACCAAAATCTCATCAACTCACCAGTGAATTTAAGGACCATCTGAGATATATACTTACAGTCTGATACATAAGACAAGAGGAAAGCATAACTTTGCAGCAATGGAGGACTACTGGTCAAATAGGAATAACTAGAGGGAAGCCCCAAGCTAGGAAAGGGTCTTGGCAAATTCCCCTGGGAAGGCTATGCTTGAAACAGCTGGATCATTTGGCTGTTTGCCCCACTTGAACCAGGCAATAGACAACAACAGCAATTGTTCTCAGGCCAAAGTATTGGATGTAGGCCTTGGGCCAGAGAAGGTCCATAATACTTTCCATAGCTTCAGATTCTAGTAGAATGGGGAGCCCTCAGGCACAGAAAAGCCACTGGCCTACTTCTAAACTGGCAATATGTTCTAGTGTTTTCCACGATCAACATAGGTAGGCTACCTTTCACTGAACCATCAATCCTAAATGCTTGATCCCAAAAAACAAAGATGAGTATACAATGAAATCCTAGAAATTTGGGGAAAATGAGTAAAACAACAAACTCAATATCCTTAGATTTGAGGATGTTACAATCCCCCAAAAGATCTTAAAAATGAAGAGTGTCCCGGTAACCATTAGAAAACTTCAATAAATGTTCGTTGAATCAATGAATTAATTATGAAGATAGAGTCTATAGACAACTACATAGAAGAATGAAGACAGGTAAAGAATGAGGAAGAGGATTAAGTTGGGGGCCTTTCCAGACAAAACACAATGCAGAGTGTTCAAAAGAGTAAAACTGAGAGAAATTGAGACATGAATGATAGATTCAAAGTTTTAATATTTATCTAATAGAATTTTCTTAAGGAGTGGTCATTTTCTAGAGTCAAGACTAATAAAGTATTCTGTATGCATTCCAAGGGACCAAATTTATCCATGCCTAGGAAAATAAGTAAAAAAAAAAAACACAATTAAACTGAGTACAAACAAAATAATCATAATTCAGTTTTCTGGCTTTGATCAGCAATGAAATGACAGACTCGAAGAAATCAATTTAAGGACACATTTTTTTCTTTCTAAGCCAATGTTTAAATGTCAACATTTTAAAATGATTAAACATTTTTTATAGACATTTAGGATGCAGCCTAATAAATGAGCTCTCTTGTAGACCTGCCTCTAAATGGATTTTGGCTCTTCACCAAAATTAAATCTCCTTAAGTCCCCCCTAACCCCCAGGGTTGTTTTTTTTCTTTCACATTTTTGGATTTTGAAAAAATATAGTCTTTAAAAGAATAAATGCTTAACTTTAAAATGTGATCGAGAAAATCCTGTGAATAAGGTAGTTTCCTTATATAGATGAAGAAACAAATAGTAGTTAAGTAATTTGTCAAAGGATTACATAGCTGCTATGTGTTGGTATGGCTTCAAACCTAGGCAGTCTTTCTCTACCATCCTGTCATGTCAAGAAGTATAGAAGATTTGTGATGAAGTGTTCAGAAATGCTTGACAACTCCCTAGCATAGCAGGCTTTACATGTGAGGGTGCATTTAACAGGTATTGAATTAGAACATATTTTTAAGTACCTTATTGAGATTGTGAGATATTCAAATCAGGTTCAAGACAATATTTTGGGGAGCAGCATGCATTGAAAACAATATTTTTAGAAAGTAATATTGTATAAATCTATCAAGGTCATTAAAATGTTTATACTTTCTGACCCAATCCAATTTTGGAGAAATTAACTTGAGGAAATAATTAAAGTCCACATGCATCACAATAGATACTACATTTTCCCCCCAATATCTCTAGAATAGCAAAAACTTAGAAACTACCAATGCCTCCTATAGGTGGCAAAAACTCAAATGAGTATTATTTAATAATTTAAAATAAACTAGAGACTAGCTGGATATGGTGGCACACTCCTGTAATCCCAGCAACTTGAGAGGCTGAGACAGGAGGATTGCAAGTTTGAGGGCATCCTAAGCAACTTAACAAGGCTCTAAACAACTTGGTGAGACCGTGGCTCAAAATAATAAATAAGAAAAAAAAAAAGGACTGGGGATGTGGCTTAGTGGTAAAGCATCCCTGGTACAAAATAAATGAATTAATCAATAAAATAACTAGAGAGACTAATATGTGGAAATACATAATTCAGAATTGTAGTTATACCATGATTACCATGTTGTATTACCATATAATTAAAGATTAGAAGATACTAAAAAATGAAATTGGTAAGATTGATAAGAATTTACTTTTCTTTAGAAATTCTATGTCTTTCCTGCATGGAAAGCCAGCTATCTAAAGCTAATCTACTCAATTTATGATCATATTACACTTGGGTTTTAGCATCTGAGATTGTGACTATAACTATGCTTTTATGCATTGTGATTACATTGGTAAATGTTGTTATATTTGAGATACATAAAAACCTGATGGCTTAAAATTGGAAGCAATAAAGTGGCAAAGAATTATCGAGTAGGCATATACCTTTAAAATACCTTCAGTGTGTTAGGTACCATCCTTTCAATGTTCAGTAATATGAAATGTAAAGAGAGGCTGATATGAAAACCTATTATAACAATTAAAAATATAATCTTAAAGTTTTAAAGTGTTTTGTAATAGACAAAGTGGAAAATAAAGTGAACTGAGTCATAGGATGGCATCATCGACTACTACAGTATGTTTTTACTTGAAGTAGCTAGATTTCTTAGGATACCACTTTATATGATGAGAGCATGAAACAATGAGGTTTAAGTCCTGGCTCCCTTACTTTGGGCTTAGGTGGGCCTCTTAGTGTATATGAGCCTCAACTTTCTGTTCTTCAAAATGGGAATTGAAAACAACATATACAAATATCCAGCAGAATAGTACATACTCAAATGAGAGATAGCCATTAGTACTATAAATTATAGCAAGGAAGCTCTCAAGAGGAAGTTCTCTTGAATCATTAAACAAGTATGCTCAGGGAGGGAAGGGAATATGGAAATATGTAAGTGGAGAAAGTTCTGTGCTATGCAACTTGGGATTTACAAAAGACTTCTACGTGAAATAAATAAATACCTGCTGACCTGACATTGCCTAATGACACTCTGCTCTCGTGAATTCACTGGATAAACTAAGAATTTATCCTAAAAGAACAGGAAGCTAGAAAGCCAGACAAGTTTCAATAGCTATTACGTAATACAGTCACAACCTTGTTTACAAGATGTATGTGGGAATTGTCATTGCTTGCAGGGGTTAGCCATAAATCTTTAGCCTGCGGCAATTATTAAAGTACTTGCAGATGAAATAGCTTTGTCTATGAGTTGAATAAAGAGGAGTGGAAAATTTTGAGGCTGGAATTCAGGTTTGCTTTTCATTTATATCTCAGAAACAGCACTTGCTGTCTTAGAAATTTATATTCAGGATGTAAAATAGCAATATCTAACACCATTGCCTTGCTCAAAATTAGAGCATACAGCTGAATTAATTACTTGTGCCACATGAATGATCTTACGTTGGATAAACTTTGTTTATATGTAGTTATATAGCTAAATTTTTACACAATTAGATATATGACAGAATATATTGGAATGTTTGTATTCTCTTTATATACCCACAGCTATTCAGAGTACATCTAGTAGGTGACTCGGTTTTACATTTCTGGCTTCACGGGAGGAGGTGGCCTGGCATAAGCAGAAATAGCCTGAAGTTCAGTGCTAGTCTTGTCTCTGGTTAAAAATCTGAACCATTGAAGGGTTTACGTGAAGTTCTAGAAAGATGAGAAGAGAAGCAA